AATTATTAATTAATTACTATTCTTTGAATGTTTAACCAAAGAATACGTTTTAAGTAAATACTAAATAATGTGTATAAGTATATTATTTAAAATATAAATTTAAAGTTTAAGCCAATTATTCCAATGCATACCTATTATATTTTTTGATAGTGTTTTAATGTTGTAATTTGGTTAACAAATTTGAATTTAATTAAAAATATACTTCTACTCAATCAGCAATATTATTATGTATATGGGAATCAGATTTCATATTTTGCTGACAACTTTATTTGTATAATTTATTGGTAAGTTCAATCTAAAATTAATATATTAGAATTTTATTTTTTTTATTAAATGATTTATACATATGATTAACAAAAAATAACCATGATTCAAATATTTTTATTTTATTTCAGTGGCAATTAGTAGAGTTTATATAATTAATCAAAAAATACAGTGAACTTTATGACTAGACAGCTCAATTTGACCAGCAATTAAAGCAAATTTACATCGCTTGCTACTGGTATCTGATGACTATAAAAGAATAAAATATCCATATTTCTTTACATATTATATTTTAACCTTTAAACAAACTAAACAATTTATTATGTAAATACGAATTTTTATTTATAAAATAAATAATTTGACGTTTATCATAATTTTTGCTTATTTTTTAGAAAATTAATTTTGTTTTCTTTCAAATTTCAACTGCAATTAGTAGTACTAACTTTTAATTCAAATATCTATAACAAGATTGGATGAACAAATACAATTTGTTATTTTGGTTAGTTACAGCATTGAACATGTCACCTAATAACTTAATACGTATGAATAAATAATTTTTTTTTTGTTTATAGAATAAATCATTTCTATAAATAATTTAATTTTGTTTTTTTTTTGCATTCAGATAAAAAAAAAACAGCACAGCATCAAGACCAACTACTTCTACACTTGTAAAATTTGTTGATTGTCACATTATTAGTTAATTGTATGTTTAAATAATTAGGTTAAGTTATTGATTTACTATTTTCCAAAATTAGGGCTATGGAGTTTTTATTAACCTAAATTGGCAAATTGAAAATCTTTTTTTAATATGATAGTGTCATTTTTATGTAATATTAAAAGATTTTTAGATCATAAATTTATTAATTAAAAATTAACATAATTTCAAAAAAAGTGTAAAAATGAATAATTTTTTAAAACATTCATAGTCCTAAAAATATGTTGTAATCTAGAGTAGATAATATAAAGTATGTTCAATGTTCATTAATTTTTATTAAATTATCTAGGATAGTGGGGACATGTTAAGTGTTAATATTTTTTATTAGTTATGACTTTACCCAAATCCTGCAAAAATTTGCATCACGGAAATTTGTTCATACTCTAGTAAAATTATTGATAACCAATGTGTTTATTGTCTTTGATGGTTTAGTATTGAATTAATGTCCATTATTTGGTCTATTCCAGGTATGCCCAATCCGCGGCCCGCGAAAGTGTTCCAACCGGCCCGTAATCATTTTATTAAAATTAGAAATTTGTATAGGTGTAAAAAAAAAAATTATTATTTACAAAAAAGTGTATTTTATTAAGTTTTAAAAATATAAAATAATTTTTAATGACGAAAACAAACTAATAACTATAGCGTGGAAATATTGAGAACTTTTAACACATATGATTTGAGTCATAAATTCGATAAGTGAACAAAGATAATATTATATCCAATAAAATGTACAATAGATATACCTATGACTAGTTTATATTTTATCGAAATTAACAAAAAAAAAACCCATGAAGCATATACGGCCCGCAGTACAAATATACATTTTAAATGTGGCCCACCAGTTGAAAAAGGTTGGGCATGCCTAGTCTATCCACACACAATATAGTTTTGATATAAAATGCAAATTATACATTATACAAAAAATATATCCCAGAATACCTAATATTTATAAATAGAAAGTCGGGTAGGCACTATGAACAACGGGCTTTGAGCCTATAGCCCCACATCAGATAAACAATACAAGACTCACCTCCTCGATGCACAATACATTGTAATATCAGTCTGATGTAGGTTATTTGTTGTGTCACTTTATTTGTGTAATCAAAATAACTTACCTATCCTATTTTATTTTTTTAGTATACACAGATTGATTTGTAATTATTTATTTTTAATGAAATTAAAACCTTAAATGATAGGGGCATTGTAAAAATATATAACTAAAAAAAAAAAAAAAATGTGTGAATAAACCTTTAACTACTTTAGTTTTGGCTCTAAATCATGAATCCAAGTACATAAATTATACATTTGTATCTGTATTTATGAATTATTTTTCTAAAGACATAGAAATTGTTGATTTACTTTGTTTTGAAATGAATAAATGTTTTCTGTTTAATATAATCATTTACTATAATAATTAAGATACACCATATTGTTTTAAAAAAAATATTTATTTTGTAATTTACCAGTCCATCTGATATAGAAATATAAATAATATTAAATAAATTAACAAATTATACAACATAATATCTTCTTTATAAAACATAAAGCATTGTGTTTTCCAAATTTATATAATTTTTATTATCTATATTACATACTTATATACCTACATATCACTGTAAAACATAATTGATTGAATGATGAATATGACATGTTTCACATAGGTAAAAAAGATAAAAGTACCTACCTATTTCCTAAATGGGCTAAATGTACAGTATTGTTGGTTTTTCACATTTTATCTGTTCTCAGTTGAATTAATCCTCTGGATTCCTCAATATTAAATAAATATTTTATTTTATTGTAGACCACAAAAATTGTTGCAACATTAATTTAACTACAATGTTCTACTCTATTACTGAAAAAATGGATATGTGGTCATGCTTTATAGAAAGTGGAAAAAATAAAAGGAAAGCCGCTCTATTGTACAGCCAACGATTTGGACTTAAGAGACGAGTTCCTAATTCAAGCATTTTTTTAAGATTGGAAAAAAACTTAAAATCTACAGGAAGTTTCAATAAGAGTAAAAATAGGAAATGTACCAAAACTACTAAAGAATATTCTCAAATTGTGTTACAAAAATTAGAAGAAAATCCTAATACATCTTTAAGAATATTATTGAGTAATTAAATACATATATTGTATATATTTGAGCTTAAGGTATTCCCTGACACAGTAAATCCTCAAACAATTATTGCCTGGTTTCCATATTATGATCATACGTATGCTTCGGTTCATTTTTTGGGCCCATATAATCTTGACTGATAAACTCCTATTTCCCTTGAGTATGATTTGATTCTATGAATGGACTAGTATTTATTTTATTAATTTGTAATAATTTACATACTTCCGTAAATATTTTACTTAAGAAATCGGTACCTTGGTCGGTTAATATTGTGGTGGGTATGCCATGCATACATACGAAATGTGTTACGAATGCTTCTGCGACTGTGTTAGCTTGGTGATTTGGTAATGGTATCCCCATAGAATATTTTGTTAAATCGTCCTGTAAAGTTAATATGTATGTGTTTCCCGATAATGTAGTGACCAATGGGCCAACTATGTCTAAAAATATTTTTTCGAATGTCTCTGAATTTGTAGATGTGATAAGCATGGGTTGTTTTATTTTTTTTATTCGTGACTTTACCCTTTTGACAAGATTCACAATTCTTAACATATTTTATTACGTCTTCTTTTAAACCCTTCCAGTTAAATTGTGTCTTTATCTTTTTTATTGTCCTGTGTATACATGCATGTCCCCCAATCACTGAATCGTGACATTGGTTGAATATAATTAATTTTTCCTCCTCACTAAACTCAAATTTTGAACATATGATAATCTCTATATCTGTATTCCGAAATACATATCGGATCATGGCACGCACCTGCGCCCATTCGAGCCTGTCCTTAATACCTAATTTATTCATTGCTAATTTATTCAATGACAGTTCCTCACAGAATGTCAATACAAGTTTTCGTACGTGGTCTTTTGATTATTTTTATTTTTTGTTGTTAAGAAAATTATGTTTCTATTGTTATATTTTATGTAATTCACGGTTCCTACATGTTTACTGGGTGTTAATATCTGATTTCCACCGAATTTCTGTTTTAACTCGTAATTTATTCCTGACATGAAGTTATAATTTTTAGCTATTTCTGACACTATGTGATACTCGTCGGGTGCTTCTACTAATTTACCGTTTACCTCTCGTACGTTTTTATTTGTTATTACATGTGATTTGAATTTATTTAAAAATACTGGATAGCTTTCATTTTTTATTTCGTCTACAGTGTACATTCTAGATAGCGCGTCTACATTTGCATTTTGAACTCCCGGTTTATATTTTATTTCATAATCATATTCTTCTAATAATATTCGCCATCGAGCGAGTTTAGACAATGGATCTTTTAAATTAATTAACCACGATAGCGCACGGTGATCGCTTAATATGACTGTTTGGGATAAATCATAGATAAGACTTGATTGTGGTAACGTCGCTACGCAATCGCGATATCGTATGTAAGTTCAGTTCGTCGTTTTCCACCGATCGTTACGGTGCAGTTAAACAAGCTGACACTCGCCGCAAAATTATTGTCAATTAATACAATAAAACATATATTTGAAAGTTATTTTATATTCAGCGTAATAATTTTATTATACAGTCCACAAATATCTAACATTAAATGGTCCTAACGAACCGGATGTAAAATAATAATTAAAATAAAATTATGTTAACGCGGGTGAAGTGCATTCAGTGAAGAAGAGGAACTCAAATTCAAGGATTACAGCAGTAAAATATAAGGTAAGTGAACATCACCTATACATAAGGTAATGCGCACAAGGGGGAGCTCGGTCATTTTTATAGGATTTATAGTCAATAACGTGGAAACACTATATAAAAATTATAAGGTAAAATATTAAGCACACGAGGTAAAATATTTATAGAATATTTGGAAAGTAACGAAACAATATAAATTTCGATCCAAAGTTCAAATAGCGGTGAACAGACAGATAACAAGTGTGAAAATGCCTACAGCTCAACAAGGTCAAATAAATGATGGAGAGGGAGCAACAAATGCAATACAAAATGAACTAGCGCAGTGGAAATTAAGAAGAGGACAAATAAAGAGTCAATTAACAAAATTTCAGGCATTCTTATCCGACGAGAACAGTAAAAATAAAACGCAATTGAGATTACGAAAAGAAAAAATAGAAAAATTGTGGGAAGAATTTGATAACATACAAAATCATATAGAAGCTAAAGACACAAGTGAGGATCAAGTAAATTATAGAGATACGTTTGTAGATATGTATTTCGATCTTATCGCAAAAGCTGAGGATAGGTTAGCGCCTATAAACGATGAAATTAAAGAAGCGGATAAAAATTGTATAATAAGAGAGTCAAACAATTTAGCGCAGAAATCAAGCTACATAAAATTAAAACCTATAGAAATACCGATATTCAATGGGTCATTTGAAGATTGGTCAGCATTTCAAGATATGTTTAGATCACTAGTGCACGAAAATGAGGGATTAACAAAAGTACAAAAATTTCATTATTTAAAAATGTCGGTATCAGGAGAGGCATCAAAAATAATTAAAAATTTAGAAACAACCGAGATTAATTACAAGTCGGCGTGGAAAATAATAACAGATAGGTATAACAATAAACGGTTATTGATTCAATCGCATACAAAATGTATTTATGAGTTACCATATATACGTGACGAGTCAGCAGAAAAATTAAGGCAATTCACAAATACATTAAACCAGCATAGACAGGCCCTACAAGCATTAGATCACGATCCTGATCTATGGGGTGCACTACTTCTACACGTGATAACGTCGAAACTCGATTCAAATACGGTACGTCAATGGGAAACATTAAATGCACAAAATGAATTACCTACTATTTATAAAATGATTAGTTTTTTACACGAGCGTTGTCAAATTCTGGAGGCGGTGGAAAGTTCAAAAGGAAAGTATGAAAAGACAAAACCAATTCCTCGAAAGTTACACAGTTATACCACTAGATGTGAGTCGTCAACGGGCATGAAGTGCTATATGTGCCAAGAACCACATCCACTTTATAGATGCCCGGATTTTATAAAAATGAATGTGGAAAATCGTATAAAAAGTAAGTGAACTTAAAATATGTAAAAATTGTTTCCGAACAAATCACACAGTGGACCAGTGCAAAGCGCGAAAATGCAATCAATGCGACAAATCGCATAATTCGCTGCTGCATAAGAATAATACACAAATGGGTAAAAACATACAAATAAATAAAGGAGATAACTCATCAGATAACAAACCGATCGATATAATAGAAGGCTGCGGTAATGATGAAGAAACGGAACAAAGCTCAATAGCAAACGCGATGTCTTTTACGTCGGTATATACAGAGCGAGCAAAAAATAATAAACAGGTTTTATTAGCAACCGCAGTCATACAAATATTAGGCAAGGACGGCATATGGTACACATGCCGTGCGTTACTAGATAGTGGATCCCAAAGTAATTTCATCACCGAGGAGACAATGAAAAAATTAAATTTACCACGAAAAAGAGTAAACTTACCTATTACTGGTGTGGCAGAAAGCAAACATAACGCGGAATACAAACTTAACATAATAATACGATCACGGGTAAATTCATTCCAACTAATTAGACAAGTATTAGTATTATCAAAAATAACTGGCTGTCTACCAACAAATACATGCAATGCACTAAAATCAGTTGTACCCGAAAATATCATATTAGCAGATCCGCATTTCTATCAACGCGGAAAAATAGATATACTTATAGGAGCGGATACATATTGGGAGATTATGGGTACTAATATTTTCAAAGTTAATCCGTCTGGTCTACACCTACAAGAAACAAAGTGGGGCTGGATAGTGGCGGGAGGAAATGCACAAGGCGCGGAGATCGCATTAAACAGTTGTATGTTTACATGTACGGAACACGATATTAGTTTATCGGAAAAAATTGAAATGTTTTGGAAAGTAGAGGAATGTATATCAAAGGAAAATTGGTCAAATGAAGAAAAACGTTGTGTGGAGTATTTTACAAAAAATACAAGACGGGATGAGCCGGGAAAATTTATTGTAAAGTTACCATTAAAAGATAATGCAGTGCAATTAGGCAAATCGTATGATATCGCTATGCGCCGATTCTTGTCATTAGAACGACGATTAACAAAATTCCCGGAAATATATAATCAATATAGAGATTTCATGCAGGTGTATTGTGAACTTGGTCATATGGAAGAGGTAATCAACAATGAAATAAATAACGATGGACGCGATTGTGTATATATCCCCCACTCATACGTAGTAAATGAAGATAGCCGTACAACAAAACTACGTGTGGTATTCGATGCGTCAAGTAAAACAGATGCAAGTATATCACTTAATGACGTATTAATGAAGGGTCCAGTCATACAAGAAGACCTAATTAAAATTATCGCACGCTTTAGAACGCATAAATATGCGTTTTCAAGCGATATTACGAAAATGTACCGTCAGATTTGGATAGATAAATCACATCGTAATTATCAACGAATATTGTGGCGACCTAACAAAGATGAAGAAATTAAAATATATCGTCTGTGTACTGTCACATATGGCACAGTATCGGCGAGTTTTCAAGCCATAAAATGTTTATCAATGTTAGCAGAAGAAACTAACAATAAATTAATATCGAATATAATTAAATACGATTTTTGCGTGGATGATTGTTTAACAGGAGGTTTCAATCTATCAAAAACTATAGAATTACGTAATGATTTAATTTCCACATTAGGCAAAGGAGGATTTACTATGGACAAATGGACAGCAAACAACGATGAGTTAATTAAAAATATTCCCAATGTCAATTCAAATGAATTCACATCATTAGATTTAGGTTAATATGTTGTAAAAACGGTCGGGTTATTTTGGGAACCATACAGTGATCACTTATCGTATAGAATAAAATTATCCGAAACTGAAGCACATACAAAACGTCAAATATTATCGCACATTGCTAGTCTTTTTGACCCATTAGGTCTTGTGGGGCCAATCATTATTGTCGCGAAAATAATCATGCAATCATTGTGGTTAGAGAAAGTTGATTGGGATGAACGTTTATCAGAGGAAATCAGTATAAAGTGGAAACATTTTTGGTACGAATTAAAAAGTATCAATACAATTAAAATACCCAGATGGGTAAATACAGGTAATTGCACGCGTCTAGAAATACACGGGTTTTCGGACGCGTCAGCGTACGCATACAGGGCATGTTTATAATATGTTCGTAGTATATCAGCCGAGCAAGAGGTAGCAGTGCGATTAATATGTGCAAAATCGCGGGTAGCTCCTCTCAAAACCACGTCAATTCCCCGTTTGGAATTATGCGCTGCTGTTTTATTAACACGATTAGCAAAAAATATTATTTCTACCTTACGAATACACATTACGCAACAATATTGGTGGTCAGATTCGCAGGTAGTATTAGCATGGATTGCGGCGGAATCTTCAAGATGGAAAACATACGTAGCAAATCGCGTAAGTGAAATTCACGAAGCAACGCAGCAATATTGGTATTACTTCGTTCAGTTCTGTTGCTTCGTATATACGGCCTTTAAAAATTGTAAGCCTATCCGGTGGCTTGATCCGGGATCACGCCACAGGTAAATCTGGTATATAATGGGTACTAGTTAGACACAAATTAATTACAAATTACTCGATTATTCTACAACTTACTGCAGTAATTCTCAGGTACCGAGCGTAACTCTGCCTACAAATTTTCAAGTGCAATTTAAATTTATATGTTACTATTTTCTAATGTTACTTTATTTTATTAAAACATACTGTTTTAACATATTGATTTTCTTTCTTATAACAACATACCTTTGTGACTCTGCAAATATCAACAACAAAAAGTCAAACAC